AAAATATTAAAATATAAAAATTAAATATAAAATTTCTTCATTTCTAACCATACACATACACGCACATATACCTTCATGTCCTTTAAGACACCACATGTTGAATATCACAGATATGGAATATAATTCAGAAATGGAATATAATTCAATTTATGTAAAAATCCGCAAAAAAATACATATAACAATATTTTAATTTTACAAAATCGTAGAGCTTATGTATCTAGAGATGCCCTGCGTACCGCAGTATAAGTATACAATAATGACACTACTGTCGGAGCATGTCGGAGCATGTCGGAGCATGTCGGAGGTCAAAGGTCAAAATTCGGATTTTCGGATTTCGGTGTTCGGAATGTGATGAAAGTTCGTGAGAAATATCCATAGATATATTATATATAGATAGAGCTTTGTGTCATCTTTGCCTAAAGCCCGTATCAGACTATGCATTGAAGATTGAGATTGAAGATTCAAAATCGAAATTTGACCAATCAGAATAAAGAAATTTTAGTCTCTTTCGTTCTGATTAGTCAAATTCTAATCTTTAATCTTCAATTTTCAATTTTCAATGCGTAGTCTGATACGGGCTTTATTACGGTTATGACCAAAATTTTTTCACGTGCAATGACCTTTAACATCAAATGCTCACTTCTGTTATTTTTTACTCGATGGGTGCACCCTGGTGAAATCGGAACACAGCCCCATATGTATGATATCGGCTGCGGTCGAGAAGACGCTAGAAATGCTTCGAAGCATTGCATTAACCAATTAGAATAAAGAAATCTTTAGTCTCTTTGTCCTGATTGGTCAATCAAACGCTTCGAAGCATTTCTAGCGTCTCTCCGACCGCAGCCATCGTCTAGACTTCATATATACGTCATTTAAAATATAATCTTTTAAAATTTAAATACTAATATGGAATGCTCTGTATAAAAATTAATTATTAAATATACATACAATGCATAATTAATCACTTTTTTTGCGCGCTAATATTAAGCTAAATATGTAAATATCATTTTAAAACATTTAAACTTCATTATAAATCATTTATAAGCAAAAATTTTTTAATTTACATTAAAAAATTAATATTTAAATTAAAATATTTACATTAAATTTTAATAGATATTAAGATTATGATATTTAAATAATGTTTATGATTTTATCAAACATTGATAATTTAATTGTGGAAACTTTACAATTTGCTAATAAACTGCAGAGATTAATGTTAATTAGGAGCTACCTCGATTTTTACGAAATTCACTATATATTTTATATATTTCAAAGAACGGAAGAACTAAATCTATGTATGTATGTGTGTGTGTATGTGAAGAGGAGGGAGGGCGGAGCGTGCGCGCGTACGTGTGTGTGGATAAGTTACTCTTATCCTGTCCACTGTATAATCACATTTAAAGGTAGTAATGCTTTATATACATAATATTGCCATGATAAGTTTTTTTAATACCTATACATATTAAACATTTATTCATAAAAGTACATTTTTTCGATTAACTTTTTTCTTTTTTTGAAGCTATTTTAATATTTATTTACATTAAGCATTATCAAAAAAACAAATTTTTGAAATTTTTCAATAGTGATTGAATAGTGTAATTAAAGAACATCTGTAAAAAAAATGTATTCAATATTTTCATTTATATAAATTGATTATAAATGGAGATTATATAGAACATTATGAAGAAAATAATAAACTCCATAGGAAGGAATAAATAAACTCCATTTTTTTTACTCTTTGATATTTTGAATTCTCCGGTGTTGTCAAACAAAAATTTGATATTTTATTTGATTTTTTAAACAAAACTATTATAAATACTATTTACTATAAATTATATCACAAATTACAAAAATAAATAAAAGATGCAGAAAACTTTTCAATAAACATTTCAAAACCTTGAATTAATATTTTGGAAAACATATAGTCCAATCAAAAAATATCAAATAATACAGTAGAACCTCTCTATCCTGTCTCTTACTATTTTAAATCAACTGTAGACTTATTTAATAAAGTAGAATTCTCTGTTTGTTATTCTCCCCTACATATTGTATGTTACCCCTATTACATATATTATCATGTAATCATGTATTAAGTAAAAAAATGAGTTAAAAATAAAAAATGACAATCACAGTTTTATTTTGTGAATAGAAGGCATCAAGATCCCATGCTATTTTGGAAAATAATGCGTCACTTCGATAATTTCGAGAATAGAGAAGTTCGCCGATTGTAGTATTTCATTGAAAATTAAATAAATTTAAACTTATCATTTCAGTATTATCGAAAATTTTTCAATCCACAAAACAAATCCAAATCCCAATTAAATTTTTCGAAAACTTTTTTGACTATTTTCATCAATCATTAAAATTAAGAAAGAATTCCTATTTAAAATATTCCTGCATCTTTAAAACTGATCGATCACCGTATTGACAATCGACAGCTTTAACATTGCTCTAGCCCGCGACGGTAACCGATGCATCAGCGGTATCAATTTTCTCAAGAAATAACTAATCTCGCTTCTGATAGGGAACATGGTCCTTCTCATAGTTCCCGTAATTATTTTCCGCCGTCTTGCTTTCTTCTTTTTCATCATATCTTTTTTTGAATCTTCCAACTCTTCCTTAAAATACTGTTTCTTTTTTACCTGCAATATTCAAAGTTATTTGAATAAATAATTATTATTTATTCAGATATTACAGATACAATATTACGTATTAAATATTTCAATTATTTATTCTCTAATTAACTAATACTTATTTTCTTCCATTTCAAATTAATCATTAATCACCAAAAAAAAAGGGATGTGTGTGTGTGTACACATTGTCTACAATCATATTTGTTATTGATTAATTGCAGAATTAACTATTATAAGAGAGAACTTGACTGTCTAAAAGTCTTAAGTATTTTTAATTATTTCCTGGTTTACGAATAAAAGTAAATTATATATTTATATATATTTACAAATCTTTATAAAAATTGAATCTTTATCTAAAGTAGATAATTATTAATAGTAGATAACTACACAATTGTACATATATACACATATAAAAATGTATAAATACATTTTTATATGTGTATATACAATTGTGTTTTTGGCAAATATTTAATCATTGAAATGTGAAGTGTCATTAATATAATTTATTATTTTCTTGCCAAACTAGATAATTACTTTGTGTAGAATTCTTGGTTTAAAAGAAAAATGTTCTTTATGTCTATTCAAAGTCCTAAGCGAAGGCAGTGGAATATGTTGTTCTTTACGAAGATACTCATAGCCTTTGTTGTTAAGCATAAAAAGCCACTGAAATGCTTTCTGAATAGTTTCTGAAGACCATGTTCCGGAAGTTTTAGTTGTATCACGATTCAAAAAATTCAGTTGGTCCTCATTAAAGATCTTTTCAATTTTTGATTGATTTGCAGCTAAATTTTTTTTCAGTCTGTTATTCTGGAAGAATAAATAAATGCAAATAAGAATCACTTATTCATATCACTTGAATTTAATAAGTACATATTTTTAAAATATAAAGAATATGAAGCCGCTATAACATATAAATATATTAATATTTTAAAATTACAAAAAAATAATATTGCTTACCTTATCACATAGTACTTTATTGTGTCTTGTCAAGTCAACAACCCTCTTTTCTAAATATTTATACCGTGATATCTCATCCATAAAAGTTTCAGATTCCTTAGAAATATTAACAGAGAAATCATTCTCTTTTTCGCAGGTGGATGACTGACATGAAGACACTGTCATATTTACTTCACCTTTCGTAAACAAAAATATCGTTGAATGTACAATTAAATATAGACTAATGAAAATGCTGTTAATATTCTTACTTGTATGTAATTGTTCAGGTGCTGGTTGTGAGCATGTTTTAATAGGGCTATAGGTGAATATTGTAGGAACAGCATTAGACTTGAGTACTAGATATCCTGCATTATTAATTTTTTCAAATTGCGAAATATCAAAGTGGCCCTTGAAAATTTACAAAAACAAAATACATCAAATAAAAATAACTACAAGTGTATATAGCATGACCTCATTAGATACAACTTAAATTTATACATTTCATTGCCATTAAAACAAAAACAATGTATTGATTGTTCCGAATAAAAGTTCTAATATTCTAATAGAAATTATTAAATTTACTTCACAAATACTCCAGTATGGATGTGCCATGATTTCGTCATATGTGAATCCACATTTTTCAGCCCATATTTTTATTTTTTCAGGCCGTTTTTTAGGAAATCTGAAAAACCTGTACTTATCTTTTGCAGAGTTTCTGCAATTTCGTATGCAACAAGAGGTCACCATTTTATATAATTAGCTTATTTATATTTCCTACTGATAACAATAACCTAATCTAATCTATTTCGTTTCTCTGAGATTTCGCTTAGAATTTATTTGTCAACTGATCAATTGTATGACTGCGCACAATCGATTCTTGCATTATGGGTTTCGAAAAGTTCGTGACATTGGCCTAGTTTACATCGATATACTTTAATTAATATGTACTAAATACTATACTGACTGATCATAATCATTCTTTAAAGGAATGGCTATGATTGGCCAGTGTAGTACTTAATATGATTAAAGTATATCGGTGTAAACTAGGCCTATGTCGATGTAAACTAGCCATTAAGTTATCAATCCCTCGGTACTCATGATGCTATGCAAAGAATCGATTGTGCGTAATCGCACAATTGATGAGTTGACAAGTGGTTTTTTTTTTTAAACTATAGTTAATATATACAAAATAATAACTGTATTCTGTGTGTGCGCAAGTATCATTATTCGTGTGTTTTTTCCTAATATTTAAAATAAATTTTTTTTTATTTGTGTTAATATTTTTTATTGTTACAATTTGTATTATTATTCGATATATATATATATATATATGTGTGTGTGTGTGTGTGTGTGTGTGTGTGTGTGTGCATGTATGTGAAAGAGAGAGAGATGACAATTTTTTTTTCGTTTACAGAAAATTACGTTCCAAAAAAAACATTCTTGCCGAGAAAAATTTTACTCAATGGTCGGCTCGGAATAAATCGCTTGAAAAAATTTCGGAATGGTCAAAATAGAGAAAAATTTTCCTCGGATGAGAAACGTTTTAAAATATGTAATCTTTTAAATGCTAATATGGAACGCTCTGTATAAAAATAATTATTAAATATACAAAATGCATAGTTAATCACTTTTCTTGCGCGCTAATTAAGTTAAATATGTAAATATAATTCTAAAGTATTAAAACTTTATTATAAATCATTCAGGAATAAAAACTTCATTATTTTAATTTTAATATTTATATTAAAATCGTTTCAATAAATATTAGGATTATAATATTTGGTACAAATGTTTATGATTTTATCAAACATTGATCATTTAATTGTGAAAACTTTACAATTTGCTAATAAATCGCAGAGATATATGTTCATTATAGGAGCTATTTCGATTTTTTTGAAACTCACTATATATTTTACATATTTCGAAGAGCGTAAGAACTAGATCTATGTATATGTGGAGGGGGGGGGGTGGAGCGTGCGCGCGTACGTGTGCGTGGATAAGTTACTTTTATCCTATCTTCTGTATAATCACGTTTGAGGACAATAATATTTTACATACATAATATATTGCTATAAAAGTTTTTTTGTAAAATAATGCTAACGTTCATAAAGCTAATATTAATTTCACATGCTTCAAAATATATGTAAAATAATATCTTTTTATTTTTATTCCTTCCAACAATTTTACTCTCTCTAAAGTATATATAATCTCTCTGTCTCTCTCTCTCTCTTTTTTATATTATTATTTGTTGCAAATTTGAGTAATGTTTAAGAAGAGACAAAGAATCGTTATTTCTAATTTTCATAAAACAATGGTTCTTTATTTCTTCTTAGGTGTTGATTATACTCGATGCAAAAATTCTCTGCTTTAAAATTTACAAAGTAATTCTCTCTCTTTTTATTTCTAGACATCGATAATTCTATACTTTTAAAATACATAGACTATGCAAGTTTTAAAAAAATTAATAAAGTGACTTATACATATTAAACATTTATCCATAAAAGTATATTTTTCCGATTAACTTTCTTCTTTTTTTGAAGCTATTTCAATATCTTTTTACATTGAGCATTGTCAAAGAAACAAAATTTTCGAAATTTTTTAACAGTGATCGACTAATATAATTAAAGAACATGCAAAAAATGTATTAAATATTTTCTTTTATATAAATCCATTATAAACGAAGATTATGAAAAATTATAAAAAGTCAATAAATTCCATTTTTGCTTTTTGATATTTTGAATTCTCCAGCGTTGTCGAATAAAAATTTATTCCTCGCGATATCCAAGATGATTTTTTAAACAAAACTCTTATAAATTACAATTTTAATTACGCGGGCAATTAAGAACCAGACGCAGATGATCGTGTGCGTCAGACCCCACATACTATTATAAATTATAAATACTATTTACTATAAATTATATCATGAATTACAAAAATAAATAGAAGTTGCAGAAAACTTTTCAATAAACATTTCAAAACCTTGAATCAATATTTTGGGAAACATATAGACCAATTAAACAATATCGAATAATACAGTAGAACTTCTCTATTATGTATCTCACCGTTTTAAATCAGCTGTAGACTTATATAATAAACTAGTATTCTCTGTTTATGTTATTCTCCCCTATTACATATTGTATATTACTCCTATTACATATATTATCACGTGAGCATGTATTAAATGAAAAAATAAGTTAAAAATAAAAAATGCCAATGATAGTTTTATTCTGTGAATAGAAGGCGGTCCCATGTTATTTTGAAAAATAATACGGGACTTCGACAAGAATAGAGGAATTCGCCGATTGTAGTATTTCATTGAAAATTAAATAAATTCAAACTTAACGACATTTCAGAATTGCCGAGCATTTTTCAATCCACAAAATGAAACAAATCGAAATCCCAATTAAATTTTTCGAAAACTTCTTCGACCATTTTCACCAATCAATAAAATTAAGAAAGAACTCCGATTTTAAAAAATATCTGCATTTTCAAAGCTGATCGATCACCATATTGACAATCGATAGCTTCAACGTCGCTCTGACCCGCGATGGTAAGCGATGCATCAGCGGTGCCATTTTTCTCAAGAAATGCCTAATCTCGCTTCTGATAGGGAACATGGTTCTTTTCATGGTTCCTGTAATTTTATTCCGTCGTCTTGCCTTCTTCCTCTTCATCATATGTTTTTTTGAATCATCCAACTCTTCAAAATGTGTCTTTTTTCCAATCTGTTTCTTTTTTACCTGCAATATTCAAAGTTATTTAAATAAATAATTATTATTTATTCAGAGATATTACAGATACAATATTATGTATTAAATATTTGAATTATTTATTCTCTAATTAACTAATAATTATTTTCTTTCATTTCAAATTAATCATTAATCACCAATAAAAAAAAGGATGTGTGTATGTACACATCATCTAAAATCATATTTGTTATTGATTAGTTGCAGAATTAACTATTATAAGAGAGAATTTGACGATATAAAATATTTTTAATTATTTTCTGGTTTGCAAATAAAAGTAAATTATATATTTACAAATCTTTATAAAAATCAAATCTTTATCTAATATCGTAGATAATTATTATATCTGTAAATATATTTTTATATGTGTATATACAATTGTGTTTTTGACAAATATTTAATCATTGAAATATGAATTGTAATTATAATTGACAATTTACTTGAATATATTGCATATTTATATAATCGCTGTTCGTTAGTCGCGAATATATTTTGCTCAACTTACACTCACCTGCAGCCCAGCTTCGTCTTCCAAAATTTCCAAAGAGTGCGGAGGCGCCTTTTTTTTCTCTATTTGTACTTTATTAGATTTTAAAATCTCCTTATTAGATTCTGTAGACATTGATAAAATTTTTACTAAACTTTTGTCCAGGTTCTGCTTCGTTTTTTGCAAGATAACAGAAGTTTGATTGTTCTTCATCCAAATTTGTTGTTCGCTCGAATTACTCGTAAAATTTTTCGTCTTGCTTTGTTTTTTCATCCTCGAAGCTTTCTGGAGATTTTGCTGTTGTTGTTCTTGTTCTGGAAGATTTATTTTGATTAACAGTCCCGGAGGAATACTCGACAAACTATGAACTGGTATTGGAGCTCCAAGCGTCGATATATCTCCAGTAAACGGCACTATAATCTTCTTGATGTTTCCCTGAACATTATTTGCAACATTATTTGAAGCGACATTATTGATTGTAATGGGTTGAAATTGATCTCCCAACTGGATCTTCCAGTTGGTCGTGGGTGGAAGAGGTAATTTTTTCACTTGGTTCTCTGTATTATTAGAATCAAGTCTAGGAATATTAATAGAGGTCGGTCTTCGGGATTTCCCCCGTTTTTTCGCCAGTGGTGCAGGTTTATTGTCAACCTTGGGCTTCTTGCTGGATACAAGTGGTCTAGAGCCCGGGCGCTTCAAGACTTTGGAAGGATCTTTATTATTTTCTTCAATGTACTGATCATCCTCATTTTGCTCGGAAACATTTTCACTTTCTGAAATATCCTTTATTGTGGGCACTGCATCGCATGGGCCGGTCTTGTTGAAATTCTGCTTAGTCTGGAAGTGTTTGGAACACAACACGAGCTTGCGTATTTGATTGGGCGACATTTTGAGTAGGTCTTCGCGGCCGAGAAATTGGCACCAGCGTAAGCATCGACCTATTTCGTATGCCGGAAACGGGTGAAACTTGTAACGTTCAATCTTATTTCTTGGATCGGACCTCAACCGACCACAAGCCGCGCAAGCTTGGCTTTCTAGTACTTCAGTAGACAATGATTCCAGCTTTTTGCACTTATCTGGAAAGGTGGAAAGTTTCAATTCAGGCTGCAAATCGATAATAGACGGCCCTGATTGGTCCAGCTGGTCCGCATCGCGAATGTTAGGAATAGCATTTTCTATTAATCTTCCCTTATATCCTGGAACAAACTGGGAACGATCAAAATGCTTAGAACAGATATAACAAAAGAGGATTTCTTTCCTCGTTAATCTGTAATAAGAGTCTACGCCAACAAAATCTAGCCATTTGAGGCAGCGAAATTCTTCTCCAGGGAAATGATGGAAGGTTGTTCCATCGTAATCTGCCGCAGGTGGATCTCTTCGTGTTTTTCCACAAAGGACACATGTTATATTATACAAACTCTGTTTAGGATCATAAACTGATGGAACTGCAGTATAATTTAAGCGGTCTAAATACTCATTGAGAAAGTCTTGGGGCTGGAAATGCTTGGAGCAAATCATACGTTGAAGAAGTTGCTTTTTTGTAAGTTTGTAAAGATCCTCACGACCGCAAAACTCGAGCCAATAGCGGCAACGAGGCTCGTCGTTCACCGGAAAACCAAAAAACATGTACTCTTCCTCGCGGTTGTTGGGGTTCATGCGCGAACGACCACAGACGACACAAGGATGTGGCATAGTTGTGATATTGTAGTTCTTAATAATCAAGTGAACCTAGTTCATAATTCAAATTTGAAGCTGTAAATTTCGGAAGTCAAATAACCTTTGTATTCTTCATCCTCATAGTTATAGCTTGAGAGAAATTGTAACTTTTAATAAATTCTTCTTTCTCATAATTAGATTAGTTACCCTTGAATGTAAACAAATCTTTCTTTTCATAGTTTGCAGTTGTAGCTTTAAAAATATATTATAAACATAAAAATCTCTTCTTTTTAATAGTTTGAAATTGATATTATAACTGTTAAAAAAGAGTCAAATAGCTTTCAAACATTCTTCTCATAACTTTTCATAGTTTAAACTTGAAATTGTGACTACTGTATTCTTTCTCTTCCATAACTCATGATTGAAATTGTAATCCTTGAACGTCAAGAGATCTTCAAATCTTTTTCTTTCATAACTCACATTGAAATTGTGATTTTCAAAGGTTAAGTTGTCTTCAAGTTTTTCCTCTTCACAGTGCAGCTTAATGCGACAATTAACTCATAATTGTAGAAACTTTTAGAATGAAATTTTATTTTTGCATCATTTGCATTGTTTCTTCCGTATATCCTATTACAGCTGAAAATAATTATAAGATATATTAAAGATATTAACAATTGACAATTAATAGAAGATAGGACAGAAAGTTAAAGATGTATATGTGTGTGTGTGTGTGTGTGTGTGTGTGTGTGTGTGTGTGTGTGTGTGTGTGTGTGTGTGTGTGTGTGTGTGTGTGTGTGTGTGTGTGTGTGTGTGTGTGTGTTTCTATTTTTTATAATATCTATGTTTTAAAATATATAAATTTTATTTTGCTTTATTTTCTTGTTTATTACACTGAAAGAGGTTAAGTTGCAAGAAAATTTAATAAAATTTATTGATAGATGGAATAGCAACAAGTTAGATTGAATTTAAAATCGATTGTATATTACTTCTCTTATAGTTTGATGAACAATTTGTGGAGTAATTCCTATCTGATTATTTCGTCACAACTTTAAAGTATATTTTAAACAAAAAAGAGATCTATAATTACTAAATTTCAGTCTTCCAAATAATGGATAACTTAAGAAAGCACTCAAAAATATTTATTTTACTAGAATTCGCAAAAGGCTTGAATTATTGAGAAAATATTGTTAATTTATTAAAGAATTGAACGTATACTTCTTGCAGCGACGATTGAGGTTATGTTGCTTTGCTCGCCAACGTTCAGAGAGAAATATCTAACCTGTAAATGTCATTGTGGATAATTTGATAGCAGATTGATAATTGTTGATATTTGTCAGTGCAGTATTAGCAAGATAAAATAATATAATAAAAATTGTAAGTAGTAAAATTGATATTGTTGTTTAAAGAACGAAAATTTTTATATTTATTTAAAAAATTTATATCAAAATGTTTTCTTTTTACGATAATGGAAAATATACCTGGAAATGCTTTCGTATAGTATTATTATAAAAAAGAAAAAAAAATAATAATGTAATTATAAGTGTAATTACGATAAATAGTACAGTAGTACAGTAGTTTGAAAATTTAAGATTTATGTCTCATATGCAGTGTTATTGTCTCATATTCAGGGTTGCAATATAAATCATCCGTTTATATAATATATAGCAAAAAATTCAAATAAATTAGTAATTGAAGACGAATAAGAATTAAATAAAATTTCTTTTAATTCCTGGGAAAAAATATTTTTAAAAGATGGCAGAAAGTGTCAACAATCCATATGACATTAATGGGCAACATTTCAATTCTGACATGTATTTTCAAAAATTATTAAAGGTGAGTTTATTAAAATATAAATATTTAAATAAATATTTTAAAGAATCAGTTAAAAAGTAATAAATGTATTGAAAACTAATTATTAATAATATACATATATAATTAAGATATAAATTAAATAAAACTTTAATTTAAATTAAGAATTATTTAAATCAATTATTTTTGTAATTTTCTCAATATAAAGTTTTTGTTGTACATAAAGAATTATATATTTTATTAAATTTTACATAGACGAGACACAGAATAACATACGCTAGAGAATATATCATCAATATATAAAAATTACTGCGGCCTAGCATATTGTGTCTTTTATTTGCTAATTACAAATTTTTATACATAATTTTATTTATTTTAATTAAAAAATTTATTTAATATAATTTTCTTATAAATCTTAATTTTTTTAAATTGATTGCATTATTTAATCTCTTTTTTTGACATAGGAATGCACATTAAAACAAATTATGGATCACGAAGCTGAGATTATAAAAAACACTCAGATTTTACATTCAGATATGCAGACTTTGGTATATGAAAATTACAATAAATTCATATCTGCCACCGATACTATTCGTAAGGTAAGTCTATAATTATAAAATCACTAGATTTGTTTTTAATTTTGAATACAATTTAGATGAAAGCAGATTTTAAGGAAATGGAGGACAGTATGGATCTCTTGGCGAAGAATATGGATAGTATCACTTCTTTTTCAGAGCAGATCTCTTCAACTTTACATGGAACAAGACAAAAAATTGCTAAGTTGTCCTCTGTACATACTCTGTTAAAAAAATTGCAGTTTCTTTTCAAACTGCCTGGCAATCTCAAAGATAGAATAAATGAAGAGAAGTATGAGCAAGTATGCATTTAAAGTTTATTTATACTTGAGTATATAAGACATAATAATAATATAACTTCTCTTTTATATAAATTCTTAAGTCTTCATTTATAAGTGTTTTAATTTCAGGCAGTTAAAGATTATGTTCGCGCGCAAAGAGTTTTAGATCAATACAGTAATATGCCATCCTTGCAAGGCATACAGAAAGATTGTGAAGACATTTTGGAAGAACTAAAATCCAAACTCAGGTTACAATTTCACAAAAGAGACACTTCCACTAAGGCTCTAGCTGACACTGTTGAACTTTTGTTAAAATTAAAAGAACCAGCTGAATCCTTATGCATTGAATTCTTGATGCATACTGAAGGAAGGTTAACAGAACAATTAGAAATCCTGAAAGATACATGCGAAAACGACATTATAGAGTTTATGGACATGGCTTCTTCAAGATTCCTTAATAACTTGTGTCTAATTGTGGCTTCTTATAACGATATGTTCATAAATCGATTATTGGAAGACAATGATTTAGTTGATGACTTTGAGATAAAAGCTGAAAATCATTTGAATAAATTTATTGTGAGCAATATGAAAAAATATTTTGATTTAGTGAGCAAACGAGTAGAAGATGTGAGTGATACAGCACTTTTGGTGAGAGCTCTTGACAGATTTCATCACGATCTGCAGGCAATGAATATATCATGCGAGGAAAAGGACTTTGCCAGGTGATGAAGAAATAGGAAAACATTAAAATAAACTAAAAGTAATTTGGAATAAAATGTATAAATAAGAAATATAGAATAGAAAATGTGTTTGATAAAAATTAAAGTAGAATAAATATCAAATATAGAATACTTTTATAGTTTAAACCACCAAACTTAAAATGTGAATTAAAATTATACAAAATAAGAAATTTTCCTGAAAATATGTTCACAAACATTTTATTTTAAAGATATCGACATCTAAATATGCAAATAAAATAAAATATTTTATTGTAATTCGATATTTATGTAATTCTATTTATCTAATAATTAATAATGATTAATAATGATCTCGAATAATTAATAATGATTAATAATGATCTCGATTTTATTATATCAAACTCTGCCATTGTTCACACACAGATTTGCATTAAATTGTTAGAATTAAGCAAAAGTGCACATAGTATTTGGACAGGTCATTTTGAACATTTTTAGAAGTTAAAATTTTATTGATTATATATTAAACAAATAAAATTGCATAAAAGTCAGTTTTTTTTATTGTATATTTATTCTATTTATATAATTTTATTCCATCTGCATGTTTAATATTTCTAAAATGTTTGTGAGTATACTCCCAAGGGGAAATAATATTTTTCTTTTTATTCCAACATTCTTAATTAAAATTTGATATTTAGCATTTAGACTACAAGCAGCTTATATAATAATAGTATATATGTTGTTGCAGTATTTTTATAAAATCTGTCTTTCTACAAAGCTATTTTATAAAGTGCTGAGTTATTGTAAGACAGCGTTTTATAAAAAGCCAGAATTTACAAAGAAACATTGCAACACATACATAAAACTAATAAGACACACTTTTGTGTGTGTGTGTGTGTGTGTGTGTATAATATGATAAAACAAAAAATAATAAAATAAATTAAAATAATTATTTTGCAGAATTGGGATCGACATTATTGTTAACGCTGGCCGAAAGCAATGTCGCAATCATTTGCACAATTTGAAGCAACACTTAAACGAGACTTTAGTGAAAGTAAGGCAGACATTAGCCACCAAACTCACACAGAATAGCGATGGGAATTTAGCAGAACTTCAAGCCATGCTCATCATACCCATCATTGAAAAAATTAAAGGAGTGCTACAAGATTTATCAGTTTGTATTTCCTTTCATCTAATTTATTTATTCTGCTCTTTAGATTTTTTATTGTCATTATTCACATTAATGAACATATCTTCAATAATCTTCATATATAGCAATCTTTATATATATGTATAGATTTCAAGATATTGGTTGAGACTTTAATCTTATTTTAACTGCTCATTTATGTATTATTTTGAACTTTAGAGTATAATCTAATAATATAAACGTGAACAAAAAAAAAGATATAAATTAGTCACAATTGTTCCTCTAGGAATTTTTGCCAGAAAGGTTGTCGTTCAATCTAAAAACGCAGTTTCTGCAAAGTTTTTGTGTGGATGAAGTGAGAGAAGGATTAGTAGTCGGTTTTTTACATCATCTTAAAGCTACAGCAGCTGGATTCTGCAATGGATCTGATGTGCCAAAATTTCCACCTACCTTGTTACTTTTGCTTAGCAAAATGTGCATCGACTATAAAGAGATCCACGTCGATTATTTGGTATTTAAAAATAGAAATATTTAAAAAAATATTGTGGTCAATTATATAATAATATAATATACATAAAAATACCAATATTAAAGTTAAAATACAAGTGAAGTTAAAATATAAATACTAAATAAATAATTTAAAAAAATAAATATAGAATATATAAATATATATTTGTATATCTTGTAGCTCAAGGAAACCGACGATCTTTTCAATATTGCTCGATATACATCTTCAGAAAACATAACTCCTATATCAGAAATGTGCGATCACTTTCAAGAAGCTGCTCAAAATTTGCTGAATCATTATGTACGAATTCAAGGACTAGCAGTTTCTCAAATGTTAAGGAAATCTGTAGAAACTAGAGATTGGTTACACACAATTGAACCAAGAACTGTGAGAGCTGTAATGAAGAGAGTTGTCGAAGATGTAACAGCTATTGATTCCCAAGTTGCTGCTCTCTATGATGACAATAATAGTCAAATAGATAGAAGTAGTGACAGCAGTAGGAAGACTCGCAGGTAAAAAACTAAGAATCTGTTTAATTAAATATATTTTGTTTTCTTGGAAATTATATCTGACTATAGATATAAAAACGAAATTTCATGCAATGCAATACTAATTGTATGTATTTTTGGATTTTGAAATATTCTTCAGGTTTTTTCCCGTATTTATTATTTAAACGTTAAATTCTTAAATTTGAGATAAATAATCCAAGTTTTTTTTTAGCATTAGTGTCTCAAGGCATCATTATAGGTCAAACTGGTCGTCCTACACACCCAGTCACATCGATTCCTCTCTAGTGTCGAATATTCATAAACTGTTCTCTGAACGAATCGAGATTTTTTCATCTGTGCAATTCGACAAGGCGTCTATTCTAACAGGAATTATCAAAATAAGTTTAAAAGTAATATTAATGATAATATACTATTCTTTAATAAATGTTAAGAAAATTAAGAATATTTTCTCTAGAATATAATAACAATAATATCAAATATAATATCGAAAATTTGTAATATAATAATGTAATACTAGACTTAATTTATTTAATCATTCATTTAGATTAAATCTCTTTATGTTTTATTTTTTATTTATTATTCATTAAATCATTAGTTTCATACACAATTTGTTATTTTAGTCCATTTTATACATTTATTATTTTTCAATTTTTTAATTATTTATTTATTAATTTTCTTATTTGTTATGTATTAAATAATTATTTTTTAGCATATAGAGTGATAAAAATTCT